CTTAGAGACTGATCCAACTAAAATGCTCATTAAATTTTTGAAAATAATTTATTGCCAATTTTACATCGTAAAGTTATATTCAATGAAAATCACTTCTGATAATCTGAAGGCTGGCCAATACAAATCATGCAAATGCCTATCGGCAAGCCAATAGGGAATACGGTATATTTTCAACTGGTCATTTCTGAAATTTAACTAGTCATTTGTTTTATTTTTACTATGATACCCCCCAACTAGTTGCTTCTGGCGTTTTGAACTAGTCACTCAACAGAAAACCTATATTTGGAGTCGATAACGAAAGCTTCGCAAAGGTTGATATACGAAAGGAAATAAATAATTACCGTACCCAATTAACGGATTTTCCCGAATAGAAGCCGGTCTTGTAATCCCCATAATCCCCTAAAAATCAATCAATTTTGACGAGGGGACTTGTAAACGGGTAAGGGCTTGTATTTAATGAAAGAAAAGTTTTCATCAATGGTTGTTCAGTACTAAAACGATATCTAAGCGTCTCCTAACTACGCATTACTCATCAACCAGCTCGACGTCATCCAATGCGTAAGCAAGCTCATCATCCACATCTGAATCCGTGTTCTCCTCTTTCTTCTCTTCTTCATTCTCCCATTCGCGCTGAAATCCTCTTCCGTAGACATCGTGACGCTAAATAAACCATTCCGATTCAATCGGAGAAAATCCGGCCGCAGTTACAGAGTTGTCAATAGTTTCTTGATCAGTGTCCTTCCAGGCCTTTCGCACCCACTGGCACGCGACTTCAGCGCTCGGTGGCCTCGGGTTTCCGGCGCGAGTGTATTCTACAGCGTCAGAGTTCTTCCACTCGTCGATATAGTTATACAGAATGTCCTTAAACTGCTTGTAGATGCCAATATCACCAGCTTGGAGGTATGCCGTCAGCCCACCTGGAATAACACACATAGCAATATTACGGTCTTTGCATTTGGCCTTTACAACACGTGATATGTGCGCGCGCATTGAGTCCCAGACAATGGTCTTTCCTTCCGCCTGCAACATCTTAGGAAAGACCATATCGATCCAATTGCATAGTAGTTCGGAGTCAACCCAAGCCCTCGGCTGGTAGGCTGCATGCACTCCACCAACCTTCTGAATGGTTCGAGATCCTTTCTTGTGCTTCCAAATCACGAGAAGGGGAAGCTTGACCCCTGTGGCCGTAACTGCCAGTACCGCCGTCACTCGCATCGATGAGAATCCAGTCGACTTAACGACCACATGTCGTGCACCCCGGACCTCTACGGTTTGTTCGCGTGCGTCCTCAAAGTACACTGCCGTCTCATCCATTAGAATTGTGTGACGGACATTAAAGGTGCCCTTGTTTTCGCTAAGATAGCGCATGTATGACACCGCACGACCGATAAGCTGTTCATCTGTAAGTGTCGTCAAGTTGGTGCGGCGACGAAGCGATAAGTCATTGCGCTTCATGAACTCGCTAACCCAGTGCGGTGAGGCTTCGAACAACCGGACTTGGTCTTCGGAAACTTCGCTGTACAGCTGTAAAGCTTGTGCTGCAATCCACTCTCTGGTAACCTTCTCCTTCTTTAGACGGCGCAGAACAATCGTCTCAAGTAGTAAGTCTTCAAGAGCGCCTAGGGCTCGCTTGCGTCCTCCTCCAGCGACTCGCATTTGTGTCGGCTTGGCTGCCCAAATTTCGTCACGCTGGCGCAACCAGCGGCGAGCTGTCGCGGGGTCGAAGTTCCACCCAAGTGAACGAAAATGAGCCGCTGCACGCGATGGAACACCTTCGCCTGTTGTATTGATCCAGTCGATAACCTCTTTCTTCTTCCAGATGCTGATAGAGTTGCGCCTCGATGTCATTGCCCTGATTTGAGAATGAACTAACTTTCAACGTGTAAGCTCTCTCTCGAGCAGAACAAGATCCGAGGACGGGGATGA